CATATATCAATCCCAAGATCTCATAGCATAAAAATCTCGTGTGTGTACTGATCAAGCCGGCGCCTTCCCGCGATCCTAACTAGTACCTGAAACACATAACACAAAACACTGTAAGCACAAAGCTTAGTGAGTTCCCCAAAATACCACATATAACACATATTAGCCACTCGAGGCTATAACTCTGTGGGTCCGTGCACCCAAACTCTGTGAACCCTCAGGTTCTAACTCTGCAAGCATGCACAACATAAATCACATAGAAGAATGCAGTGCAACAAACAATATATATAAAACACTATATCACATAACTCTATTTACCTACTCAAGGTAAAATATAGTGAGAAGACTCACCTTGGGTATCTCGGTAACTCGTAAATCCTTGAAATCACTAGTGCTTGATCTCCCGAGCTATAGTCCTCCTATACACAGATATATCTCTAATTAACACTTTCCCAACTAGGGTTGACTAACTCTACCAAGTCAATACCGGTTAACTCTGGTCAATGGTCAACGGTTAACCCAACTTGCCAAGTCTGGCGTGGACTCGCTGAGTCCCTACGAGGACCCATTCCCTCTGAACCCCTTCCGACTCACCGAGTCACTCACCCAACTCGGTTACCCAACCCTTGGTTCGAAAACACGGGACAACTTGCTCCAACTCGCCGAGTCTGCCAATGGACTCGGCGAGTGCATTCCATGCATAACCCCAAACGACCTTCTGAGATCAGATCAGTTCCACTAGCTCATAGATCCAGTCTCCCTAAGCTTATTTATCACGTAAAGTTTATGTCTTGGCGCTCATATCACACCTATTGACTCATAAATGGTGTTTTAACCTCACACACAATGATCCCAAACCAAAACATCCATAGACTCAAATAAAGCTTGGATAAAGAGGCACTCTGGACCTCCATGGGTCTAAATCCAAAACCTAACTCGCTTAAGGGACCATCGGAGCACTAGATCTAGTCACAAAAGGCCTCACTAAGCCCTAAATCAATATGAACATCACCACAATAGAAAATGGTTCGAAAATAGTACCTCAAACGTGATGTTCTAGACCTCAGATCTTCAAGAAGTTAACCTTCTTGCTTCCTCTTGGCTATAGCTTCCTTTCCCTTGCTAGACAACACCTCCAAGGTCGACAATGGCTCCTTCTCTTACTCCAAACGCTCAAGATTACTAGGGTTTCGCTCTGGGGGGCTGGTGAACACAAATGACGACCATAAGGCCCTTTAAATAGGCTCCAAACCCGAAAAATTAGGATTTCATTAAACAGCGCGGACTCACCGAGTCCACCAATGTGACTCACCGAGTCCGGTTATTAATCCGGGTGAGAAATCGCGTCTCTACTCGGCGAGTCTACGCACCAACTCGCCGAGTTCTTCCTCAAAACTCAAAATAAAAAGAATAATTATAATACCTGAAATTTCGGATGTTACATATGGACCAACAAGGCCTATTAGAGATAAAATGGATTAGTTTAGACCCACATGGCCCAAAATACTCTAGTTTCATGATTGTGGGTCCAATTAGAGACCAAATAAGATTCCTAGACCCAAAATAGTCAAATTGAAGGTTTATTGGTCCAAAAGGCCCAATAAGAGGATCCTAGTCCATAATGAACTTGAACCGGAATTTCTAGGGTTTTCAACCCATAGCTGAACATAGAGTTTGGATTCCTAGTCCATAATGAACATATGAGATGTATTGTATGTGGTTTTGACCTTCATTCATGAGTTTGGATTCAAATGGATGACGTTGATTGAACATAGAGTATGATATTCACTTAGAGTACAAGCCTTACAATAGATGATGTTTTCATGAGAATACAATTTCCTAGCAAAAATGCTAGTTGTGACACAAATTCGTCTAATTTTTGTTCCAAAAAACAAAAACAACAGAACCTTGAGTCATGGTGATACGTAAAAATAACAGTAGTTTTTATCTTCACTTTGTATTGTGCAATTAGAGGTGAATCGATGACACCCAAGTTTGAATTAATACTAAAAAAACCCAATAGTAAAGTAATAAAGGTTATTGGTCTCTCCTTCTTCTGGACCGTTGGAGTTTGTAAAGAAAAATAGAAAGAAAAAAGTTAAATAAATGTATTGATGAAGAAGAGCGTGTATTATTAAAGCCACCTAATGTCTTTAGAAGAAATTGTTACATTCAGAGGCACACCGGTTAAAAATATTACATCGAGATTGAGAGAGTACGTGTTGGTATAGAGAGAACAACTGGCAACGGTTGAAGAAAGTAGTGACAATGCTTGAAGCACGACTCATGAACTAGTGGGGACTGATTATGGAGTAGATCGAAGACACAAACAACTGGGGAACCAAGAAGGAAAGATGAATAGGAATATATGAGAAATAAAGAGGCTAAAAGACAACGAGGTGATTATATGTAGGCTTGTTTTGGGAAAGAGGAAAGACTCATGAATGAAACATGTCTTCCATCTAAATTTGTAGAGCGGATGACTCACCTGGTAGAAGCTTTCCATTTTATTCTGAAAATCTCCATCCCAAAGCGCATAAGAAGAAGAAAAACAAATCCAGACGCGCCAAAAACCACTATGCATGAAGAACATAAAATAATCTCAAGCCATAAGGCTTTTGTGTATTATATATATATATATATATATATATATATATATATATATATATATATATATATATATATATATATATATATATATATATATATATATATATATATATATATATATATAGAAAGATTCAAATGAAAAAAATTATGAAACTGATAACCCGAGAACAAATCTATACGACATTCTTTTTCTAACCCTCATGCGTACTGGCGTAACGGGGGACTGTAATATTCATATGTGAGTATAAACCACTACAACCACCATTGGACCACATATTTCAAATTAACCGCTCAAGCGAAAGACGGAGAAAGTAATATTCATAAATGAATAAGGATAACCCCGTATGAATATGTAAGTATATTCATATATTTATATATGAATATATATAAGTATATTCATATATGAGTAAGTCTATGTTTATTCAATCGTGATTATTCATGTATGAATATGGTAGTTGGATATAGAGATCATGATGGTAGTGAACAGTGATAGTCGTGGTTCCGGTGGGTGGCAGAGGTTCCGATTACGATGATATATATATATATATATATATATATATATATATATATATATATATATATATATATATATATATATATATAAGTGAGCAGTGATAGTCGTGGTTCCGGTGGGTGGCAGAGGTTCCGGTGACGATGATATATATATATATATATATATATATATATATATATATATATATATATATATATATATATATATATATATATTATAAGGGATTTTTAATACAAGAAATAAAAGAGGGCTCCGTGTTAACGTCCACTTTCCTTTTTGTGAGGTGGCATTACAAAAATGTCGTGACCATGCCGAAACACCGCCCATTATTTTGTTTTCATCCATTATCTTCGTTTTCATTGCCCTCCGTTGCCTCCATAACAACGTCATTTTCTTCTCTCTTCACCTCTTCATCTTTCTACGCTAATGTGGACCGTTGAACGGGGTTGTCCGTACCAAGCAGCCTAAGAGATTGCTTGTTTGACCGTTATTTACATGCAATAAAACATTATTGAAAAGTTATTTTTTATCACAAAAAAAAATTGTACAGAAGAAAATGCAAAATATAGTGGTTTTAGATATACCTATATCTCAAATGATAACCTGCAAGAAGGTTCATGTTTTCCGCCCAATCGTCCTAAAATGTACAACTAGAATTGACGAGCAACATTTTTTTGTCTTTTTTTTCAATCCCCAAAGCACCATCCATCAAACCACAGAACCCTACAAATTAAGCTTTTTTCCCAATCTTTGTCACTTGCATCCTCCTTTATCTGTTTTCTCGAAGTTCTTTTCTAGCGAATCGTGTTCATGATCTGAACATGGACAAAAACTCTATTTATTATTCTAACTTAGCTTTGAAACTCATATCTGGAGCCACATAATAATCTTTTTTATGTCAAGAAAAAGATTCGACCTTTCTATCGGAAGCAGATAAAAAGCACAAAAGTTCGGAAGAACTTCTGTTCTTTCTCTGGGCATATCTTCAAAAATTCGTCAGACGTGCTGTAGGAGAATTATCTTCTGTGCAAGTTTTTGGTCCACACCCCAAATGATTCTCAGTTTTTCTTAACGGATTTTAAGTTCTTTCATCAGTGTAGTATGCTCGAATCTTACATAGCGAAGTTATAGGTAAACATATATGGCACGTTTCTTTTTTCTGCAAAACCATTTCCTTAACCACAAATCTCTTAGAATCACCATCAATTAAGACGATTAGCAAAACGAATGTCATGATATCCACTTTTCCTTCTTAATTTTGAAGAAGTGATTAAATTCCAAGATGAAAAGATCATCTCCCTATATTTTATCACTCATGCATTATTAGATTCAGTGTCGCATCTTTAGATGAACGAAGAAGGTTGAGTTGTTAGGGTCGTCTTCATTCTGGAGACGACTACGACTAAGAACAGAATATATAGGCAACCTAGCATTGCTAGAAATTGATATTAATTAATAGATCTACATGTAAGCTCCTTCTTTGTTTCTTTATTCCAATATCGATTTTTTTTTACTTTTCTAGTGTTCATTCTTTTTCTTCGTATACCATGAATATTTTTCTCAAAAGATTCTGGCTAGCCATATATGTATGAATTCCTATGTAGTTTTTGGTACCAAGCTCTCCAAACTAAGCATTTATTTGATCCTACGCTGTTATATCATCCAATTTATCACCACCATAAAAGGAAATCTCTTTGCTTTTCTTGCTTGTGTGTTTTGACCCTAGTATTTATTATTCAAGTTAAAAATCTATATCTAAAAGATCTCTAGCTTTGTTATTTTTTAGCATTACAGTTAAAGAAATATTTAAAATTAGAAAACCATATAGAAAGACAAATACAAGTATAACACGTTCAAAAAAATTTCGCAGTTGATATCCATGGAATCATCCGACCCACCATTTCAGGAGTTCTACCATAATTTATTTGACAGCCATGCAAGGAATAAGATTGATTTCAAGATTTTAGATGTAGCAGAAGAAAGGGAACTTCCACTGATCGATCTTGGTCTGGAGGAGGAAAAATGCAAGATGGAGATAGCCAAAGCCTCGCAAGAATGGGGATTTTTTCAAGTGATTAATCATGGGGTCTCGTTGGATGTTTTGGAGAAGATGAGATGTGAACAGGTGAAGTTGTTCCATAGACCTTTTCATGAGAAGACCAAACAGGGAAACCAAAATTTTAATTTTCCGGCGGGGAGTTACCAGTGGGGGACTCCTTCGGCCACCTGCCTCAGGCAACTGTCATGGTCCGAAGCTTTTCATGTACCACTTGCCGGCATTTCTACAACGGGTGATAGCTCTACTCTCAGGTACAATTTTCATGTTATACACGATCCTTCAACTCATTATTTATCTTTAGGTTTTAAACTGAACTTCCTATACGTATAAACTATTCCAATACATCTATCAACATTTCCTCATCATGGGATTTGCTTTTTCTAGTTAGTTATGAAGTTGAGAAAGTGTTCTTTCTTAGACAAGTATAGCATGACAACAAGAATCAGCGCAAAACAGAATATATTAGCATGCAGAATAATTTATCTATACAATGATACATAATAAAATGATGAAAAGTTAAATAAACAATGAAAAAAAAAAAGAACACAAGGAATATCAAACCACGCAAAAGAAGATTATCTTTAGACGTGAGACGGTTCAAGACTCAAGAGAAGCCTGAGACGGATCGAAGATATTAACTTTAACAGTAATTAAAGCATTCCATGAAGTTTGGTTATTAGGTATCCATAATGCATTAAACTTCATAGAGTTTAATGGATTGTCAGATCATCATTTTTAAATTCATATAACTCTATTATTGTTTTCTCTACAATGCATTCAATTCTACAAAATTCAATAGAATGCTACAAAATATAATTTATAGTAAATATTTAAGGATTAAAACTTTTCTTTTTCCCATTAAATAGTTCAATGATCATTGAACTCCGAATCCATTGAATGCCAACTGGCGTTTCACTCAGAATGGTTGAGTTTCATCTATTAAATGACACATGGACTTGCCACCTCATTCAACTCTCCCATTTAACTCACCATTGTGGATGCTCTTAGGTTGAGTCGCAACATAATAATCTATGAACATCTTTGTTTCTTTGACTGTAAAATCATCACCATTACTCAACTCTCACGACCAACCATTTTTTCGGATGAAAAAAACAGCCTCACCATTTCTACAGAATTAAAAAGCAAAATTTTTAATATCTTTTATTGGGAAGAATTCCTTTTTTATAGAAATACTTTTAGGAAAATTATATATGTTACAATCATATAGAAATACTCGGATTCGATAATTCATATAGAAATACTTTTAGGGAAATTATATATGTTACAATCATAAGTTAAAACGATAAGTTTATTGAAATACATAACAAAATTAGACAAATCTGAATACACACACAAAAAAAAAAAAAAAAAAAAAAAAAAAAAACAATGGCCTCAATTTGTGGATAATTATTAAAAATTTAAGATATATATGAAGTAATAATGACATGTGTATTCTGTTAAATTATAAATCATATAGAAATACTCGGGAGCACTCGGGGAGTGCTTCGATTCGATAATTCATATAGAAATACGTTTACGGAAATTATATATGTTACAATCATAGGTTGAAACGATAAGTTTATTTATACACATAACAAAATTAGATAAATTTGAATACACAAAAATAGAAATTAAAAAAAAACCAAAAAAAAACACACACACACACAACGGCCTCACTTCGTAGATAATTATTGAAAATTTAAGATATATATATATATATATATATATATATATATATATATATATATATATATATATATATATATATATATATATATATACACGAAGTAATAATAAAATGTGTATTGTTTTAAATAATAAATCATTAAGTATGTTATATATATTAATTACCGAGTTTTCTGAGTTTTACAATACTGTTTGCTTCAATAAAGGGGCCGATCGGGGAGTACTCGAATTCTATGACTCACCTCGGTAAGGGACTGAGCAACGAGTATTTAGATGAATAATCGGACAACTCGACGACTTTTACAACACTATATATATATATATATATATATATATATATATATATATATATATATATATATATATATATATATATATAATTTAAAACTGCCTAATTTTATGAGACCGTGAAATCATTTATTTCTAGTGAAATGTTTTAATATTCTACCATTCAGAAAAAGTTAAATTTGCGCAATATTTTAATATTTTAAAACAATAATTTTAACATATTTTAAATTGTGATGTTCTAAAACATATAATATTAGAATATATTGCATATTTTCTTTTTACGAACAATGAAATATTAAAGTATTTCACTAAAAATATATTTGGTGTCACTGTCTTTCACTATATATATATATATATATATATATATATATATATATATATATATATATATATATATATATATATTGGCTTTAGTTACTTATTATTTGTGTCATTGGCATATTTTGTCATTCAAAACAAACTTGATAATAGCAAAAAATGTTGGTGCAAGAAATTTTTGATTGAATGTTTGTAGATATATATTTGTATTGAATACAATTGGTATAAAGGATTATAAAAAATGTAAATAAATAAAATGGTTACAATATTATATGTTTTCGGGGTGCTAAATGATTATCCTTTTTCTAAAATCATGTGAATTGACGCCGTAATCATAATTGGCAATGTTTATTTATTTTTTTACCACTGGGGTCCGATTACTTCTTGGTTTTAAATATAATTTTTGGCATTTAGCATTTTAATAAAAAGGAAGGTATCCTATGATTGCATCTTTGCCATATGCTTTTATGATTATTTTCTATTTAAAAAATATTTGTCTTGTTTTATATATATTTTTCTGAGAAATATTTTTTTTCACAATGGAAAAAGTTTTAAATAGTTTAGAATAGTCACAAACTAAGAATTTGTTTTAAAAAATTCAAATGGTAAATATTTTGTTTTATTTATTGACTTTTAAAAAAGTCATTAAAACATTCTTGACACATGGAGGCTTTTTTTTTATTATTATTATTATTATTATTATTATTATTATTAATTACGTGGTCGATAGTTAGTTTATTTGTTTTTTTACCACTTAATATATATTGATATTAAGTATTTTATTTTATCACTTTAATTAAGTGGTCAACATCATCTTAGCCCTCATCCTTTAATAGGATATCATTTTATCCCTTGAATATATTTTAGTTTCAAATATTTGTTTTTTATTTACTAAATAATTCATTATATTATATATAATATAAATTTATTTAGGAAATATAATTTTATATCGAATATATAATGTTTTTAAAAACTTTTTGATTTTTTATAACTTTGATGTAATTTTTTTTTTCGAATTTTATGTATATAAAATAATAACTGAATTTATCTATTTTTATGTTTATGACATTTTGAAAGTAATGCGTGTTTAGAAAACAACTTTTTAATTGAGTAGGGTTATAGAATATTTTATATAGACAAGGATATATTAATTAATGAAATCATTTTATTTCTAATTTCTTGAATATCAAATAGACGTTTTAGTTATCATCATACAACGAATCGGAAGACAAACGGGCAACAACTTGTGCCGCTAAAGCCTTTTTGTAAAGTAAATTCAATTCTTTTGAACACTAAATCCATCGATCTAGGGGACATAACATTGTTATGCATGATTCGTTGTAGTCTACTAAGAAGTTCCACCACATCCGACGCAAGGAAACCAAACATATCAAATGCATATGGTATGAACGCGTGGTGATTTTCCATGTACAGTGTCTCATGTTTGGTGACCTTACATGTAGCAACGTCTAATGCAGTATGTCCTGTCGTGAACCCCCTCCCCCCCCCCCCCCCCCAAGCATACGAGAGAGGATACCCCTGTAAGGACAACACATGCATGTTTTCCTCTACCCCATCCAAAAATCAAAACGTCAGTCGGCCTAAGGGTTGACATTTCTTCTGTTTGGCCAGTCAGAAATTCACAGGAGCCACTTTAATGGTGGAAACCCTGACACACTTATATATGTCAACCAAAACATCCTTAGCCATATCATGCCTGTATTTGAACCCCGAGATTTCTTTGCAATGAACTTCATTCTCGCCGAAAGAGTCCAAACATGCCTTGCAGCACACCGGACATATCTCATCGGTTGTTAATATTGGAATCATGTGTCGATATTTGAGGATGGTACGATACTCCACCAGAGATATATGTCGGCCGAACCGTCATATTGAAATTCACTTCCAAAAAGGGCACTCGTCAGTGTATTTTGGGATTTAGGGGGGAGGGGTGTCCTTAGTAGTAAATTAGGTCACATATGGGGTTGACCATTAGAGATGTTATTTAATTATTGTTTAATGTATTAGGAATGATGAGTTGGCAATTTGTTTGAGTTTTAGTATGTGTTAACCATTTCAGATACTCTTAGACTATTCTAGTTTGGTACCTAAATTCTCAATCAGTGGTGGAGCCAGGATCAAAGTAAACCGGTATCCCAATTTTATTTTTAGGGTAACCCAAATTTTTTTCCGGGGTAGTTGGGTTTCCCTGGTTCAATTTCAGTTTTAAACCTAATCCTTAATGAGTCTTTAGCTAACCTCAAGTCTTGTTATATAAACATGAAGTTGAAGTATATTTTGATATTTGAATTGATGTGGGATTCAAAGTAGATATCAAATAAAGTATGAGGATAACAAGCTTATATAATAGACAAAAATGATTATGTTTACATATGTTTGACGATGTGGGATAGAATAGCTGGGGAAATAAACCAAAAATAAACAAAGAATATACAAGGAGCAAGAATTGAACCTAAGAGCTTTACTTTAATAAGGCAACACCTTAACCAGTAGCTCTACTATTTGTTTGTATTTATAATTGAGGGGATACATATGTATACATTATACTGAAAAAAATTGAAGAATTCATAAACAAAAATTAGACTACCAAAAAAATTTGGAGGGGTATCCCGGACTACCCCGAGATCCCCTTGGATCCGCCTATGTTCTCAGTTATCGTGTCATAGTTAATCAACTTTGCATCATGAATACGCACAATGCTGGTTGTAATTAGGGTTTGATATTGTCTGGGTAGGTTTTTCTACCAATCGATTATGTTTATTTTTTGAAACAAGAGAAGGTCTTTTAAATTAGGTCACATATGGGATTCGAAAATAAAGTTTTTGTTCTACGGACACTTAAATATACTAAAATAAATCTATATCTTATTATCCAGGTAAATAACTCTTGTGACATAAATATACTTCATATCTAATTTGATACATATTCATATATAACATAAATGAATATCTTGAACCTTAATCTCATTGATGTCACATTTTTGAACTAGGTAAATTATGTATGTATTATGAGGTACAATGCGAGCATGTAAAAAGAAACTCATGTGATAAATAGTTAAAATACAATTATTCAAAAAAAAAGTATAGAGATAAATTTGACATGAATCATGCATTATTTATTAACTAACCCCTATTTATGATATCGACTTAGCACAATTGTGCTTTCTGTTGTGTATAAATTAATTATATTTCAAAAAAATGATACAGTTGGTCCTTGTGACTTATCAAATACCACAATTTCAGTCCTTAATAATTTATTTTAGATACAAATGGTATCAATGATTTCTAAACATGCACGAATCGTCATTGTGGTTTCTAAAACATTCATGAATCTGAGCTACATATAAAATGCTTCTTTCTCATTTTTCAAGTTCTTTCTTTTATTTAAAACTAAATTTAAATTGTTACAAATAAAAAATAAGTTAACTTAAATCATCCCCAACTTCCAATCCCTCTCCCCCTCCTCTTGCTCTTTAACATTAGAATTAAAAGAGAAATAGTATGAGAAAAAAAGATTGGGATGGACCCCTTTGCCGGTAATTCCGGTAATTGACCGTCTTGTCGGAGATCAGAAAGAGAGACAAAAATAAGACAAGAAATAAAGAACAAGATAGAGAAATTGAGGAGAAGAGATGGCACATCATCTTCATCAAATGGGAGGTGACATGATGGTGCTCTAGTGGCTTGTGACAACGATGATGGTGCCCTCACCTGGTAACATGATTCGACAATAGTTAGCCACCGGTGATTCGTTACCCTCACCATCAGCAACATTCAAAAGAAGCCTAATTGATAAGTTCTTCTTTAGCGTCACCATTACATCACCTTCATCAAAAAAATCCCAATCTCCACCATTGGTCGGTGCCGATTCTCTTTCTTCCTATTAACATGATTTTCTTCACAGATGGTGGTTTAAGATGGAGGCAATCATTTGAAAGCTACCGTGAAGATGATCATCCAGTGGTGTGGGTTTTTTCAATCCTCACAACCTTTTCTGTCTCCAAATAAATCAAAAACAAAAGGTTTTGTTCTTCATATGATTTATACAGGTGCGAACATGGAGGTTTCGGTAGGGTTAGTGATGGAAGTGCAAGTAGTTTAAGTTGGATTTGAATATGGAAGTTGGGTGAACATGGCCTGATGAAAAAGCCATATGAAGATGATGGTTCATGTAGAGGATGGAAATGTTTGACGATGGGTTTGTCGTATTGTACCCTCTATTGGTGCAACAAATAATTAGAATTGGAGATGGTGATGGTCTCGATGATATGAAGGTGATAACCTAACGGTGATGTTGGCGGTGTTTGGAAAGGGTGAAGGATGGTAACAAAAAGAATAGGGTTAAGGTGGGGAGCTTTTATTTCCTTTTTAGTTAAGTGAAAGTTACTAAAACAAAAAATAAAATAAAAAGGGTATATCAGTCTTTTTACTAGGGACCAATTCTGAAAGTACGAGACCATGTATATAAAAAAAAAGTTAGCATCGACTGAAGTTGTGACATTTGGTATACGATAAGGACCACTTATGTAACTATGTCTTATATTTCTTATATATAGCATACTTTTTATTGATTATTATTTAGAGTAACTATGTAATAAAATGAAATTTTTAATGGCTTTCAATATTTACAAATTTTCAAAACATTTTACTGCATTGATCATGATATCCACCTTACTTCAACGAAGTCCATGATGGTCCATGCATATTACTCATAAATGAAACTAAAGCATTCATGTGATAGATAGTTATGACTGGAGAGTTGACATGTACATAATAATTGTTTTTACCACACAAAAATTTATGTTTTCTAGGGTTATACAATACACAAATATAAAAATTTCACAATTCTGTAAAGCATAAATTTTTGTGTATGACATAAATTTGTTGTTTACATATCACTTTCCTTAGGATTTGTGAAGGGTTAAAAAGAATAGACATGAGTTTAATGATCAATCACCAATTTGATAATAGTATTTACATCATGGATACATTTTCTAACCTCATATTATTATTGTAATACAGCATAACAACAAAACAAGTTGCAACCAAGATTTCTAACCTAGCACAAAAATTAGCTGCGATTTTAGCAGAACAATTAGGCTATAAACCAGATTTCTTTGAGAGAGATTGTTCTGCTACCAATTGCTATCTTCGACTGAATCGATATCCTGCTTGCCCCATTTCACCAGAAGTGTTTGGATTAATGCCACATACTGATAGTGATTTCTTGACCATCTTACATCAAGATCAAATTGGAGGATTACAATTACTAAAAGATGGGAGATGGATTTCTGTTAAACCAAATCCAGAAGCTCTAATCATCAATATTGGAGATCTTTTTCAGGTATAAATTTTATATATTATTTTTTTATGGTATAACTATTATCAATGATCTACGTGTCAGTTTGTATTACGTTGTTCCTTTTGGTTTCAGGCTTGGAGTAATAATATTTATAAGAGTGTTGAGCATCGTGTTGTCGCTAATAAGAATATGGAGAGGTTCTCAACTGCTTATTTCTTCTGTCCATCTTATGAAACAATGATACAAAGTTGCTTTGAGAACTCAGTTTATAGAGAATTTAGTTTTGGAGAATTCAGAGAACAGGTTCAAGAAGATGTCAAGACACATGGTTACAAAATAGGACTTCCCAGGTTTATCATTTAAACCAAACATATAGACCAAAAACTCCACACATATATTTAGACCACCACTCTTTGAAATATATATAGTATATGATGTATAAGTGTTAGAAAGAATCATTAGATACTAGTTAAGCGTTATAACAAAGAAGCATGGGTTATGAAACTAAAATTAATATATCTTAGTTAATTATATATCACCAAAGTGTATGCCTAAAAAATGGAATTTCCTTTCAACATAAAAAAGGAGAAATAGATAAATAAAAACTTAAGAAGACTCATCACAATGCACGGTGCATGAATGAAGAATCAATGGAGAAGATGAACATTCTTAGAAATCGTGGTTGGATGTGATGTTATTAAAAGAATAATATGTGAGCAATAGGAAATGATCATCATCAATATCACCACTACAATCATGATGCATGTAATATATGGAAAATAAAATCTTCTACTAGTTTATCCTAATACTTCATTCTCCTCCCTTTTAATCTTACATATTTGATGATTGACATTTGTAATGTACTATTTATATTACCTCATATAATCCTTTGATTGTAATACTTGTCATGATTCATTGAGTAGAAGGATCAATAGAAATATTTAGTAGAAGGATATTAAACCTTTCATAATGTATTCACACTATTAAATATTGTTTTTGTTGTATTCATTCCAATACTACTTGGCAAGGCATAGAAATGGCATGTAGAACTAGTGCTAATTTTCAATGCAGAGCTTAGAATCCTTTAAATTTACAAATCATAGTGAATACCTATTTATATTTCCTTTTCATGTATGTATTTTATTATTTTTAGGCCCATGTGTACTTAGGAAATTAGGATGGCTTAAGATCATGAAATGTGTCGCTCAATTGCAATTATAAATTTTGAGATGAATTAGGGACTCCATCCTTGAGTTTTATATTAAAGGGTCGTACATTTGGAAAGTATTTAGAAAAGTGTTAAGTTCTTTAAGTTATTTTCAGAATCCTAATGCACCAACATTGTTTAGAAATATGGACCATGTGTTTTATTGCAAAAAATAAGAAACAAATGAATTCATTTTTTTTTCTGGTGACCATCTTCATGATGGTTGACACTGCAGAAATAACATTCACATTTCCTTGCTGGAAATTTATATGTTTCTTCTACATATTTTATAAAAGGGATTATGGCAGATGGTTCCGGTAGTGCAAAGAGCCATTAATACAACAAATTTTCATTAAGAACATCATGTTTTAGTGTTTATATACCCCCTATAATTATTACTGTCATTTAGTTATTGTGCTATTTATGTATTTCTCCTATTATTGATGTATGTATTGTTTAACTTTTCTTATTTATCAACGGCTTACATATTCCCTTTTTTGGGACATAGAAATTTAATTCACTCATTGTATAATATGCCTAGTGTTTATTCTCTGTTCCTTTGAGTTTTCTTTTTCCCCCTTTATCTTGTTTATCCTTCTTGTTCTATGATTCTTTTTTTCCATGTATGCTTCCTCTGATAACTCCTTGCCGTTGAATATGATATTGCACATGATAACAATCAAGTTCTCCTCTTCCAATTATCGTGTATTGAAGAATCAAATGCTACCCTTATTTTTTTTTTTTTTTTTTTATCAAAACCCTTTGCCTCATATTGATGATTCCGTCAATGCCATTTCTATTGGATTACATGTCTAACCTCATAACTATAATTGGTATGTACTTGAATTAATACTAGCATAGTCGTTTTGGGTTACCTTCACCCTAGCAACTAGTCAGGATGACCTATAGATAAAGAGGAAGAATATATTGTTTGATTAATAAGTTGTTATAAATTATTTATTAATCTATTATGGAAATGATATATTAATTAGAAATTATATTATGTAATTTATATTTAATCAGAAATTAATTTGTAATTAAATTTTGGATTAAATGAATTAATTAAAAATGCAGGGGATATTTGGCAATTTATTGAAAGTTATGGATTTGGGCTCTAGAACCCTCCTAGATGGGTTGGATGAAATCTTCTAGGAATACCCTAGAAATTTCATCCTAGTGCATCTTGGATGGGGCTATTGGGTTGCTTAGGCCTTAAGCTAAGGAACTAGGGTTTCCTCCTTAAAACCCTAGCTTTCGCGCTAAGATACCAAAAAATATATAAAGGGCATACCCCTTAGGGATTTCGACCATCCATTCTAACACTAAGAAGAGCCAAAATCTTGAAGCTTCCCCTTCCTCCTCTCTCATACATCCTTTTTCTAAGTATGTTTGTGAGACATTAGAGGTGTTACACTTATGATATTAGTTTTCAAGCTTCAACAACTTCAAGGAATTAATTGTTATTACTATATAACAACTAAAGGTTAGTCTACTTTCTCTTATTATGAATTTTTATTATAGTAGATGTCTTCTAGGGTTTTTTTTGCTTTGTGTTTAATACATATATGTCCAATCGTGAGAACATAGATCCTACATTTTAGAGTTGCATTCATACATATGCATTGTTTGTGAAACATCCAAAAAATACAATCCAAAATTTTCATTCTTAATCATTAATAAAACCATAGTTATAAAACCATTACATCAAGTCATAAGTCATTATTCTCAAAACATCATAATCATCTGTCAAATATATATCAGAGTAAAAACATCAGAGGCTGTATAAATGGTGTGTGCACTACAGTCATTCCGAGCTCTTCCCCTTACTACTGGAAGTACCGAAAACCAAAACTTAAAACTGTAAGCACGAAACTTAGTGAGTCCCCCAAGCTACAATATACCATACACGTAATCACATAATCACATAAAATGAGCCCCGCCCGGCATCGGACAGAGTCCCGGCATCAGGCCTCTCCTGGATTCGAGCCCCGCACAGTATACATATATTTTTGTAATTGGCCCCACCTATCTCTTGGCCTCGCCCGCTAAACACATACAGACAATAACATATAATCATACTAGCACATAAAGAATCATACACAATAATATATACTCTTTTCTCAAGGCCTCGCCTATCATGGGCCCCGCCCCTACTCTGCTGAAAATGAGATATGGAACCACGTCCACTCTCAGCTAGTGGTGACATACAACACCCCGCCCACACTCAGCTCCATACCAGGCACATACAAGTATAAAAATGACAACATTTATTACTAACATGCATTCCTTCATCAATACCACTCCGCATTGAACCGTAGTTGGGAAACACACATATAACCTTCCTTGGGCTCCGCCCGACATTGGCCTTTAGTTTGAAACATATTGATACCATAAATTACCCACTCATAACATACTTCGATAATACTAAGATACGGGCCCAGTCTACACCTAGC